TAACCTTCAGCAGCCAATGTCATCGCGTACCCAAAGCTCCACATTTACTGATTTGTCTTCTTCCTCTGAGTTATGCTTTGAGGATTTATCGGTAAATAAAAATTGCCATGCCTTTGCGGTAAATAATTTTCCACAATGAACTGAACTAGAATTATTTTGATTTTGTGGTGGTAGCTTAAATTTACTGCTTAGCTTTGTCAACTCATTCTCGTTCTTTCTTGTTATGTTCCCATTCCTCTTCTTTATTTCATTCCCTGGCACTTTCTTTTTTAATTATTAAACTGGTAACTAAATGCACTTGTATTATCATGCCCTCCATCCTTCAGCAAGATAGAAGCGAAACGTCCTTCCGGAACCTAAAGCAATGCCTGTTCTGCATGTGCAGCGAAAGAGGAAACTGGTTATAAGAATAATAAATAATTTTCTATAAAAAGCCATCTAGCAACCTTCAAGACTGCCTACTGACCATGTTGTGTCCGTTGGTGTTCGATTATGTTCCTGTTCGACCCGACAAAGTGATGCTGTTTTGTGGCCATGCCCTGCAGGCACTAAACCCCATGCAACCGTCGACAGTACGACAACGTCGTGCAAATCCACAGAAGTGATTAAAGAATTTTCGAGACTGTTTTAGCATTTTCGGCTTCGTCTGCATGAAACTTTAATAAATCATTAATTTACTGTTGAAATGAAGGCCATGAAGAGGTGCTGTAACGTGGTCCGGTAGATTGGGTCGGTGGCCGTTTGCTATCTGCTGATCATGACTGTCCGCGAGTGCTCAACTTTTCTCGGTCCGTTGACTTGGGGGAAAGGCGGGCAGGCGTCGGAAATGGATTAGAATAGTTGATACCCGAAATGGAATGGTTAATGACCAATCGCCGCAATGCTCTCGAGAAGGTGGATCGTCGACTTGCATTCATAATGCCGTATGAAAGGGGAAAAATTTGGAGAAGGAGTAATTAATAGGCAAGGATGCTGTAATATATTCTTTCTGCAGTCAATATCTCTTGTTAAAGTCATTCGAAGAGGTCAGCACTCAAACAACTCATGAAGTTCAAAAAAACTGTTGCCACCTTACCCATTCCCAGTCGCGAAGGCTGACCATGAACCCAAAAGACGCCACTTACCGAGTTAAGTACACCGCCGCTGATATTTTCTTAAGTGTACATTTGCCAGAGATGAATGTTCTGATTAAACACCCTTATTCTATCGCCCGGTTGCCAAACGTCTGATAATCGTTTCTTCGACTTCGACGAGGACACTGACCACAAGCAACAGAAGTCTGTGGCCACAACAAGCCTGGTATGTAAACTTTCATCACTTCTGTGGCGAACAAAAGCATGAGTTCTGCGCACAACGCTGGTAGCTTTCCTGTACTCTACCGCAGAGTAGTTCTTTCTGGTTTAAAACCGCAACTGTGCTAGGAGGAAAACAGACGAGCATTTCAACAGTGCTTTGCGAATGGTGACTAGAAATGTGATGAAATCAAATCTAATGCCGTGCTGCTCTACGTTTGTAGTGTTTGAGTCTCCATACCACTGTGCAACCCTCTTCTGTGTTCCTCACCATCTACTGATAAGATACCTTGCCATACGTTGAGTGCAACGGCTTGAGTACAAAGTTTCGGCCAACGGTAGTAAGTAGACTGTACGAGTGAGATCGCTCACGCGAGCTTCATCTCCTAGACTTCACGAAAGTTGCCTCGCTCCTGGCATGGACCTGTCTTGCCGAGAATGGTTGACTGTTAAGTCAGCTTCTTCAGACTGGGAAAATCGCAACGCCCACCATACCCACCCATTGAGCATGAACTTTGGACGACCATACGACTGCGGCCATAAAGACCGTGTCGTAAATTACGTAATTTCTGAAGGCTCAATCCGAACTACAGGATGTCAACATGAATACCACAGCGCACAACATCAGGTGATTCAAAAATCTTGAAATTTCGATCTACCGTCAGAAGCTACCTGCGGGCATTCGATAGACGAAATAGCCTGCGTACCCTAGTGGAAGGATTTTGAGGTCGAAGTCCATGTTTATTCTTCCTCGCAGAAAGTATTGCCCCATCTACTTGTTGTACAGAGGTAGATCACTCTGCCCACGTACGAAATACCGACTCATTTTTCACACAGGCGTGATGTGAAGTATGTTTCGACTGTGGTTTCAGGAATGATTTCATTTCAAGATATTTTTCTTT